ACTAATCTATTTAGTTGATTATATTTAAAGAAAAAATTAATTAAACTCTTTTAATCTATGCTTAATTACTATATTTTATTAATTTTATATTACAAAATAATTAAGTATAATCTTAAGTAGATAAGATAGTCATTTGTAGTTATTATTAATGAGAAATTTAATTGTCTCTTTTCAATAAAGAAGTTTATTTTAAGCGAAAAAATAATTTTTCAAAGGTATGCGTTGGCACCTTATGATCATAATTGAGTTCAGGGGAGGGGTAGAGGAAAGAATGTATGTTATGTATATGTTGAACATAATTTGGTATATAATGAAAAACATATTAATGTATAAAAACAAAATTACAAAAATATTGTTTTAACTAAAGCGTACAATTTTTTTTTTAACTAAACAATATTTATTTTTAAAAATAAATCTGATAAACTATACGCACACAAAAACATTTTTTTCACTTTCCTTGGCAGCCAAATAGTTTGTGTTTTAGTAGTTCAAGGAGTTTGGGAAATATAAAAAAGTTAGTTTTGTTTGGAGGGAAAAGTATTGAGAAAATAAATGCAAAAATTAAAACAAGGATATTCTAGTCTTATAGTACTGTTAATATTTTTTGGGACCTTGAGTGGGTGTACTATAGAGATATTAATTAATTGGGATTTAATTTAGTGTTAAATTTCAACAGGAAAAATTTAACTCCAATGGTATGTTTAATTAAAGACCGTAAAATTTGCACTTCCTTCATTAACTAGCTAGGAGTTATTGAGATCATTTAATCCTATATGAAGTAAAAAAAATCCTAATTCATCAAGTGAAGTGGTAAAAGAAATTAAAAGATGGGAAGTAGATTGAGATTTTAAAATTTATGATTTTTATAGTAATTTTGGGTTAATATTATAATGACTAGATTTGTAGGCAAAGTTTATAGATATTTAGTAATTTTTGTAGTATATAATAAAGTCTGTGAAAACTACTAGGTTTACGTGAATTCGCTTTCGACTTTCTAGATTCAACATATATATACACATAAAGTCTTTGGGAAAAGATATTAGGTTTACCGTGAATTTGT